ACCTTCTAAAAACCTGAAAGAAAGGATATTTTGATCTGAAATTCCGCTCGTTGCTGAAAATTTCAAGTCAAAATTCCTTTGTTTCGATTTTTTCTTGAGATGGAATATTCCATTCCTTAACACTATGTTTAACAATATCACTTCAAAAAAAAACCAAAGCTGTACATCGCTTCTATGAATAAAAACAAAAAAAAAAACTTCAGAAAAGAAAAGTATTGTAGAAGGAACGTTGAATTCTTAAGGAAGGGTTAACTTCCTCTACTATTTTTATCATATAAATGATATAAACATATTCTATTTCATTTTCTATTTTAAAAAAGTAAATATTTCTTTTAGTTCCTATATTTCAACGTGTAAAACGAAATTATTTTCTCTATATATTAAATTCATCAACATTATTACATACACGTAGTATAATCGATTATCGTGGTCCATTTTTTTCACCATTTATATTTACAAATGAATTTTCACTTCTATTTAATATTTATCCATCATTATCAAATTGTTGTTCAACATTAGCTATTTTAAAAAATATTGAACCATCATCAAATATACGTCTTATTGAAGTTTATTCATTACCATATACATGTACAACATTAAAAGCAATAACACGACGAAATATTTTACGTTATGTTGATAGAAAACAACTTAAACAATTACGTTTACCAGACAATTTAAAAGCTTATTTAGCTTATAAACCACAATTTATTTAAACATACATATATAAATAATAATTTTATTTTTGCTTTTTTTTGTCAATATCAGTTGTATAAAAAACCAAAAAACATGTCACTTTCTTTTTTGTTTGCAATATTTTCTTTTATCTCTTCTTGTAGTTATTTTTCCTTTGTTTCTTTTTTTTCCTTGTTTCGTCAATGATGTGCGAATGCTTTTTTTTTTTCTTGCATGAATCATTAAATAAATCAAATAAAATCTATTGTAAAGAGAATAATTTTTCTATATATATAATGAGAGATTAAAGAGAAACAATGTTTGTAGAATAATGTCAGTACCAACAGCACTTGAAGATTATCATAAACAGTTAATACAATATTTTCTACATGATGGTGCTTATAATGAAAAAGAAATGATTGATCTTGTAAATGCTTTACGTGATCGATATGAATTAAAAATAAAAATAAAAGATGAAATTCGTATATTAACAAATAATTTTTTACCATTAATTAATAAACATATTAATCAATATGGTATTGAAATAAAACAAGTTATAAGTGAAGAACATGAAAATGATATTTATTTTGTATGTATACAAAATTTTAAACCACAATTTGTTAAAATGGATTGTTCATATACGGAAAAAGAAGCAGCAGTTTTTGAAAAATTATTGGAATTAATTATAACTAGTGATGAAAAGTTAGTTGAAAGTTTTCTTTTTTGTTTCATGTGAAAACAAATAGATGTTTAATATTATTTAAAAATTCAATCATATCTTGAATATATTTCAAAGATTATATCAAGAACTTTTTTTCTAGACATTATTAAATTTAGCTTCTTCCTTTTGAAGAAAGTTTATTTTGATTAGAATTATTGAAATTAAAATAATCGTTTGACATGCATGTTTGATTTTCAGAAAAAAAATATTGAAAATATTATGATTCAGTGACTTATTATTGAAGAGATTGAAATTTGAAATTATACTTTCAGATCTTTCTCATAGATTAAAAAAAAACAAAACACAATCTGTAATTTTATCTACTTATTTTTTTTGTTTTTTACATAGTCTAATTGATTAATCTTTTAAAATTTATCCTAGATGTGTAGCACCTCGTGAAGTATTCGAAGCAATTCTTTCGAATGATTTAAAAATGACACAAAAAGAATTTAGTGAAACAATGACACGTTTTCATCGTGATAAATGGATTGAAAGTGGTCCACATAATACTGTTATACTTCATGCTCGAACTATATTAGAAATGCAATCATTTATTATGGATACATATAGAGATTTTATTTACAATTGTCAAATATGTACACGTCTTTTAATTCGAGGATTAAATTGCTCAAATAGGTAAGTTACAGAGAGATATTTTGATTTGATCGTTGAGCTTTCAGCACCAACATGATGATGATTGGTATGCCTGTTTTCTTTAGCATAAGATTCTTTTCGGAGATTTGTAGGCAAAAGATGTTCAATTACAGATAATGTTTGATTCTCATTGTGTTTAAACAATCAAGCAGAGCTGGAACCGGACAGGATTTTTCTGTTCGGTCGGACGAATTTTACAGCCAAACTGGCAAAAATAACCGACTATAAAAGTATCTGTTCACATAAAATGTTAGCGAAGGGGAAATTGAATATTCACATGCAGAAATCCGAACTAGGGGTGATCAATTTACATTTACGAAACTAATCCGAACTGGAAATAAAAATTGAAACTAGAACTCTTCCTTCATATTTTATAGCAGGATGCATCGACTTGCCGAGCCCAACATCGATATAAATTAGCTATTCAGATCAGATCTGTTTTTCATCTTAATTTCAAAAAAAGAAAAAAAAGCAAGTTTATAGGAAATCTAATACAAAAACTTAAATATTTATTTTTCTTGATTTCGACAGCTGCCTTAATAGAACAAGAGAATAAATTATTTGATCAAGATTAAATTGAGTGATATACGAGAAAGAAATCGATAGAAATATAAAGAGAACAATCAATCGTTTATAGTCAAGTTGAAGACAAGATATCTATTGAGTTTTTCACAAATACATTCTTCTGACTTGAGAATATCATAAAAAAAGCCGTTTTCAGTAGAGAAAATTCTTGGGTACAAGCAACAATTTTGTAATGATGAATTGACAAAAATCCGGCCCGGTTCCATCTCTGCAATCAAGACAAGCGCTTAGTTTATTATGTGCATAGAAATTTTCATATCTGATAGGCCAGGAGACTTTAATTCATTATTGTAAATTAAAATTTTAGTTCATGTGATATTCATATGCATCGTTCATGTGCTGTTCGATATTTTCTTCGATTATCAAATTCTACTAGTAATTCAACAACAAGAAAAACAGCTTATCCATGTCCAGTATGTAAACAAGAATGGAATAAAAATGATGTTGCTAATATATTAAAAGCAAATAATATTAATGAACAAAATAATATGGAACAATCAAATGAAACAGTTCATAAAAAACAACGAACATCAAAAACAAATGATCATCATAATAATACAAATAATCGATCGATTCGTTCAACACATCGTCAACTTATGAATGAAAGTGATGATGATGATGATTAATAATAATACTAAATAGACTAATCATATTCTTGTTTAATATCAGACATATACATGTAGATTATTATTATTATTATTACTATTGTCGTTTTCCTTATAAATATTAAACATTGAAATTTTCGTTTTTCTTCTTCATTATAAATCTATCTTTATCTTATTCATTTAGAAATAATTATGACAAAACGTATATCATTTGTACGAGGTTTTCGTATACCAAAAGAAAAAGATATTAATGAAGCACTTGGTAATGATGCTTCATTTTCGAATGAATTTAAAAGATCATTTAATTCATTACCACATCCAACAAGTGATTTAGATTGGTTAGCAAATTATAAAGAAAAAGGTCAAACATATAAACGATTTCTAAATGAATGTCCATTTGTTAATAATAATTCTTCATCACAGAAATATATTTATTTAACATTACTTGATAATGATAATCGTTTATCATTATTAAATATTGATCGTTTAATTGATTATACACAAAGATTTTTTCAAATGGAAATTAAACTTCTTCCTTTATTTACAAATTTTAATTGGAATGAGAAAAAAAAAACATGGATATGTAAATTTTTTTTTGTTTTGGTCATTTTTATTATTTAAAAATATTGTATTAATTTTTTTTTATCAGGTACAATGAAAAGTAAAAATGATTCAACAAAAGATATAACACTTCGTACACGTTATAATTCAACAAGTGAACATTCACAAATATGTGTACATAATATACTTAATTTATTAAAAACTTCACTTCCTAATGATGCTCGTTGTCTTGTTGCAATTACATTGCATGATTTATATTCAGATGAATCTGATTTATTTATTGCTGGTTTATGTTATGGAAATCGTAGTGTAGCAATATTTTCTTTTTTTCGTTATGATCCTCGTTTAGAATTTAGTGAAGAATTTTGGTATGATTGGAAAATAAAAAAAATTAAATCAAAATTGATGTCAACAATTATATTACTTCGATCATGTCGTCTTCTAACACATGAAATAGGACATCTACTTGGTATTGATCATTGTATTTATTATGCTTGTTTAATGAATGGAAGTGGACATTTAGAAGAAGATTTTTCTCAACCATTATTTTTATGTCCAATTGATTTGAGAAAATTATTACAATTAACAAATTTTGATTTTATTGAACGATATGAACAATTATTAGATTTTTGTATAGAAAATCAATTCAAAGATGATATTAATATATTAAAAAAACGTATAGAAATATTGAAAAATGATAAAACAATGATACAAACAAAAAAAAATAAAGACTTTGATTATGAATTACAACAAAAATCTAAACGTTTGAAGAAAAAGTGATAGAAAAAAAAAACAATATTTTAACAAAATATATATTTTTGAGAATAAAATATTTAATTTTCTAGATACCGATATTATTTAGATAAATCAATGTTATTTCGAATCGTTCAAAATTCTTTCACTTCAATTATTCGTCAATCAAGTAATTTTGTTCGAATATTTGAAGTTGGTCCTCGTGATGGTTTACAAAATGAAAAAACTCAAGTATCAACATCAACTAAAATTGAATTCATTAATCGTTTAAGTCAAACAGGTCTTAAATATATTGAAGTAACTAGTTTTGTTTCTCCAAAATGGATACCACAAATGAATGATCATGTTGAAGTACTTGCTGGTATTGATCGATTACCTGATATTTGTTATTCAGTTTTAACACCAAATATTCAAGGTTTAAACAAAGTTCTTTCATTGGGAAAAAAAGCTGCTAATGAAGTTGCAATATTTTCTGCTGCATCAGAAATATTTTCAAAGAAAAATATTAATTGTTCAATTGAAGAATCATTTCAACGTTTTAATCAAGTTGTAAAAATTGCACATGAACAGAATTTACCTGTACGCGGTTCAATATCATGTACTGTTGGTTGTCCTTATGAAGGAAAAATTAAACCATCACAAGTTGTACCTCTTGTTGAAAAACTACTTGATATGGGTTGTGTAAGTTTTCACTTGATTATTAAGAAAAACAAAAAAAAAGTCATTAAAGAAGATGTGATCTACTTCCTAATAGTATGAAGTTGCACTTGCTGATACAATTGGTGTTGGTACACCGAAATCTATTCATGAATTGCTTAAAGCAATTTATGCAAATGGTATTTCATCGAATAAATTAGCTATTCATTGTCATGATACATATGGACAAGCTATTGCTAATATTGCACAAGCATTAGAAATGGGTATACGTTGTATTGATTCAAGTGTTGCTGGTCTTGGTGGATGTCCATATGCTAAAGGTGCAACAGGAAATGTAGCAACTGAAGATGTTCTTTATTTATTACATGGACTTGGTTATGAGACAGGTATTGATCTTAATCGATTGATTGATGTAAGTCAATTTATAACGAATATATTAAAACGTGATAATATGTCGAAAGTAACATGTGCTGTTCTGTCTAAAAGACAAAATTGAATTTTCTTTGTTTTTCTTTTTTTTACATGGAAAATAGGTTACAATATTTCGTTTTTTATTATTTTTACATTTGATATTCTAGATAGAGAAAAATGACATCAAAAATAGTTGAGTTTCCTTTACTTAATCCATGGCAACATTTTACGATTTATGGTACACATAATGTAAGTGTCGAATAGTTTGAATAAATAAATATGTCTATAAGTATTCTTTCAATAGCGTTATATTGTTGTGGCAATGAATAAAAATCGATCGAAATGTCGTATTCTTAAAATTGATCGTATGGATCAAAAAGAATTAACTATAACTGAAGATCAAGTAGGTTAATTTTCAATTCTAATAAAAAAATCTTTTTTTTTTTTTTATTTATAATTATTTATTCTAGCATGAATATTCACATGTTGAACTTCGTCAACTTCTTGGTACTATTGAAGTCAGTAATAGTCGAGTAGGTGGTTTTAGTAAAACAATTCATTGTTATGGAATTATTGGTTAACTAAACATAACTCTATAAAAATTAAAAATGAATGACATTTTTTTTGTTATAAATTAGGTTTTATTAAATTTCTTGAAGGTTATTATATGATTGTAATAACACGACGAAGTCAAGTAGCACGTATAGGTTATCATAGAATATATAAAATTGAAGAAACAGCAATGTTAACTATAACAAATGAAGATATTAAAAAAATTCATCCAGATGAAAGCAAGTAAGAATAATTATTATTCTATAATAAATTGTTTATTTTTGGTATTTTTGTGTAGATATCTTCGTGCATTACAAAATCTTGATTTAACAAATGGATTTTATTTTAGTTATACATATGATTTAACACATACATTACAATATAATTTTATTGAACAAAATCGAGAAAAAAATAATTTCAATAATGAAAATTTATGTTGGGGTACACGTTATCAACCAACATGGAAATATGTTTGGAATGAATATTTAGTTGAACCAATACGATCACAAGTTCATCCAAGATGGTTACTTTTTATTATAAATGGTATTTGAAATAAAATATCTTTTTTTCAATTGATTATTTAATTTTTTAATTTAGGTGTTATACTTCAATATAATTTAAATGTATTTTGTCGTTCAATTTATTTAACATTAATTTGTCGACGATCACAAAGATTTTCTGGAACAAGATTTCTTAAACGTGGTGGAAATTCAAAAGTAAATAAATTAGTTTTGAAATTTATAACAATATATATATATATAATAGGGTTATGTGGCAAATGAAGTTGAAACTGAACAAATTCTTCATGATGCTTCACTTTCTTCACTTGGTAAAAGTCATTTTACTTCTTATGTACAATTACGTGGTAGTGTACCAGCATTTTGGAGTCAAGATCCAAAACAAGTACCTAAACCACCTATTGTTAGTAAGTAAATTTAAGAAATTTTTTTATTAAATATTAATTTTATTTTATAGTTGATCTCAATGATCCAACATATGTTGTAGCATCACAACATTTTCGACAATTATTTTATCGATATGGTTCTCCAAGTTAGTTAAATAGTTTTTGTATTTTATTTTATTTTATTTTATTTTTCATATGTTTAGTTCTTATTCTCAATCTTGTTAAAGTAATTAAAATCAATATTTAACTTTTCTTTTTTTGTATCTTTATTAATTTAAATATAATTTATAGAAACGTGAAAAGAAAAAACAAGAATATATTTTATCTGAAGAATTTTGTAATGCACTTGATTATATAAAACAATTTATACCGGATGATAATGGTATACAATATTTAGCATTTGATATGGCTCGTGTTAATCGTTCGTATGTTAATAAAAAAAAACTTTATCATAAATTGAGTTCTTATTTTATTTTCTTTTTGAAAAGAAAACATCGACGTGTTATGCCTAAATTAGATGAAATAGCTCGTCGATATTTACAACAAACTGGATTTTTTCAAAATTTTCCATTATTAGTTAATGATAAACAATATTTTTATGACAAGTAAATTACTTTTATATGAGAACATACAAGATTTTAGTTTTATTTTTTTATAGAGAAAATGCAATTAAATTAACACCATATCAAACATTTTTTGTACAAACAGGTGTTGTACGTGTCAATTGTGTTGATTGTCTTGATAGAACAAATACAGCTATGTATGCTATAGCAAAATGTGCTCTTGGTTATCAAGTAAAAAAACATATTGAAAAGAATTTTTTGATTTTAACATTTATAATTTAGTTATTTGCTATGGGTCTTACAGATTCACCACATTTACAAGAAGATTCTGCAGCTGAATTGTGTGTTAATATTATCTATTTTAAATCAATTGTTAATTAATATTTGATATTTTTAGAGTAATTAAACAATTATTTGAACATTCCGGTGATATTTTAGCACAACAATATGCTGGTAGTCAATTAGTTCATCGAATTGATACATATAAAAAATTAACACCAGCTTGGTCAACACAATCTCGAGATATTGTACAAACACTTTCACGTTATTATTCAAATACATTTTCAGGTACTATTATATATATTTATGAAAAAAAAAGAAGATTTGTACCGTTTGAAATTGATTGCAAATGTTGACATCTAGTTATAAGAATATGTTTTCATTTGTTTCTCATATGATTATATTATTCAACTTATTTATTTCATATTCTTAAATTAGATGCCGAAAAACAACATGCAATGAATTTATTTTTGGGTATTTTTCAACCAAAAATTGGTCGACCACATTTTTGGGAATTAGCAAGTGATTATCATTTACATGATCCACGAATAATACCTGGTTATGTTGCACCACAGTAAATCAATAAGAAAACCGATTATTTGTTTTTTTTTTATTGTTTAGTTTATTATTTTTAGTTGTACAAATATTCTTGGTGATGATATATGGTTTTCATTACCACTTGCAGCTGAACAAGGTTTCAATTAATTTAATTTATAATAAAAAAAAATAAGGAAGTTTTTTGTTTAGTTTTGAAATCAAAGAAAGATTGTCTTGATATTGTTTCTGTTAAAAATGATGATCCACTTGTTGATGGTTTTAATGAATATTATCGTCCAGATGAATTAACAATATTTGAAGAAAAATTTGAATGGAATATGGATTCAACTAATAAGTAATAATAGATGATATTATTTATTCAATAGATTATTAATATAATCTTTTCTTTTCTAGAGATTTAGCATATAATTATACAAATATTCGTGAATTTACACCATTTTCTGTTCGAGATAATAAACAACGAAAAAGTATAGTTGGTCTCAGGTAAATTTTTATTACAGTTAACTAAACAATTTCAAGAGATTTTGTAATGTCTATATAATCGATCCTTCATTCAGCGCAATCACTGATGAGTTTCATATAATGTCTCATTTTAACTATTTTGAAACAAATTTTAAAACTACATCAACAATGAATATAACGAGGCTTTAAGGATAGAAGTAAATCAAAAAAAACTTGAACCTTCTTCATCATAAACTATTGTTGTTAAAGCCTCTATCCTTATACAAGATTTCAAATAGAAATTCTAAAATTAGTTTCTCTAACGAAGGCTATGCCATTATTTTAAAAACTCGAAGAAATGTAATAACTCAGCAGTAATCAACTGAGTATCAGAATTCTTTTCAGAATACTCAATATGCACCTAAAAAACACACGCTCTACAATGATAGGTCATGTTTCTCTAAACATTTACAATCATACCGTTATCAATTATTATTGTTATTTAAAAACAAAAAATAAAATAAAAGAATACAATATATTTAGTCTTACTGCTGATGTTCAACAACGTGCACTTCTTCCACAATCAACATCTTTATCTAATCAATCTCAAAATTTAAATCAAGATCAATCATCAGATGAAGATATATTTGATGATACAGATACTGATGAAGAAACTTCGAAAAAACAATTATTATTAACAAATAAAAAATCTTTTAAATCAAAAACAACTAGTAAATTAATTACTGATGATTCAAATAATACTAGTGCTATACAAGTAAAACGTCTTTTAAATATTATATTTCCAACAACAAATGATATATATGGTTTTCATTTGGATGAACCATCAACTGAATCATTACATTGTTATGAACAATATGCAAAAATAGCACGTGATGCATGTTCATTACCAACAACACCAATACCAACAAATAATCAACATACTTATGAAATATCTCTATCAACAAATCGATCAATGTCATCAAGTTCAAGTTTTGAAATGTAAAATTCTATTTCTCTCTAAACAATTAAAAGGACATTAGTGGATAAGATCGTAAATCTGCCATTGACTAGATTTCATTTTTAATTAGATAAAAAGATGAAGTATGAAACTCTGCACTTTTTATTTTTTATTTTTTAGAAGACTAATCAGAGAAAATATTCAATTGTCGAACGCTGTTCGACTTCACATTATTGATACTAGTAGATCTCGATGACATTAAGAATAGCCTAAAACAAATCGTGTCTATATCTAAAACCACAGGGGTATTCTATAGGAGGGTACGGTAATCAAGTCTACTTGAACATTGAATTCAATTTGAATGTTTCGATTAATAACTATAGTAGTAATTATGTTTATCTGTAACTTCTCTCTAAGGTTATGTAAGGTTCATTAGGTACAATAGATACTTTCGTAGGATACTCTTATAGTCGAATAATGAATTGAATACTAAAAATTTGTTCTATTCTAAGGCTCATTTTTATCAAAATGTTGTAAGAAAATGGCCATTTTGGAAACATCTTAAAAGCTAATATCGACCATTGCCAGACAAAATTTGATCTCATTTCAATTTTAAAGAAATTCAATCTGCGAGGAACCACATCGTTTTTTTTAATACTAATGTCGAATACAAAATTTTCGTATTGACTGTAGAATATCCTTAAAAGGGTGCCTTTCTTACAATATTTCGATTAAAATATATCTTAGGATAAATTGACTCTACATAGCATAAGAGAATCCCTCTATTTTGCATTTTTTTTTTGTATGTTAGTGTTTCATCTATTAACAGTGAACGATCAAAATTAACACAACAACAACAACAACAACAACATCAACAAATGGAACAACAATCATTACAACAATCATTAATATCTATGTTCGATGAACCAATCGTTAGTGATGATGCTATTCAAATTTATGAACGATCAGTAGCTGTAGCTCATCAAGGACCTTTTGAACCGTCAGATATTGATCGAAAAGTCTATGAAACATATGTAGCTTCTTTGGCAATTACTGTCCAGTCGTAAAAAAAAAAGAAAACAAATTAAATTATTCATATTTTTAAATAAATTTATTTATTATTTATATATTTTTCTGTGTGTAAAATTATTCAAATAAATCTTTATTTTTAATTTAAGATGAACTATGTGTTCTAGAATAATTCTTCGTCGTACAATTCAATATAATATTCTTTCTCGAAGATATAATTCTTTATCATCAAAAGATAATTTTGTTCGAATATTTGAAGTTGGTCCTCGTGATGGTTTACAAAATGAAAAAATTCATGTACCAACATCGATTAAAGTTGAATTTATTAATCTTTTAAGTCAAACAGGTCTTAAACATATTGAAGTAACTAGTTTTGTTTCTCCAAAATGGGTACCACAAATGAGTGATCATGTTGAAGTACTTTCTACTATTCATCGAATACCTGGTATATCTTATTCAGTTTTAACACCAAATATTCAAGGTTTAAAAAAAGTTCTTTCATTGGGAAAAAAAGCTGCTGATGAAATAGCAATATTTTCTGCTGCATCAGAAGCATTTTCAAAGAAAAATATTAATTGTTCAATTGAAGAATCATTTCAACGTTTTGATGAAATTGTACAAATTGCAAAAGAAAAAAATCTACCTATACGTGGTTATGTATCTTGTGTTATTGGTTGTCCTTATGAAGGAAAAATTAAACCATCACAAGTTATACCTGTTGTTAAAAAATTACTTGATATGGGTTGTGTAAGTTTTCAACTTGATTTTATTAAAAAACAAAATTAAATAATTTTCATTTCAATAGTATGAAGTATCACTTGGTGATACAATTGGTGTTGGTACACCGAAATCTATTCATGAATTACTTAGAGAATTAAAAACAAGTGGTATTCCATCAAATAAATTAGCTATTCATTGTCATGATACATATGGACAAGCTATTGCTAATATTGCACAAGCATTAGAAATGGGTATACGTTGTGTTGATGCAAGTGTTGCTGGTCTTGGTGGATGTCCATATGCTAAAGGTGCAACAGGAAATGTAGCAACTGAAGATGTTCTTTATTTATTACATGGACTTGGTTATGAAACAGGTGTTGATCTTAATCGATTAATTGATGCTGGACAATTTATTACAGAAGCATTAAAACGAGAGAATGCATCAAAAACTGGACGAGCACTTTTATGTAAAAGACAAAATGAAAACAAAACAACTGTAAAGAACAATAAAACCTAACAATTATTAACATTGTCCAACGGTTTTTGTTCTATATCCTATTATATATACTTTATGTGAATGTATTTATTTTTCATTAATTAAAAATAAAAAAACATCAGTTTAGTGAACTATTATCATTAAAAACATTTATTAGTTCTAATATATTATTGTATAGTAAGAAAAATATTGTCAATGAATATTTTTATGTCATCGGAGAATATATTTTATATTTTATTTTTCGTACCATCATTTTTCAATATTCACAATTCTTTCATGTATAAAACCAAATTTCGTTCATCTTCGGAAAGGAAATAGTAGAGAAGATAACAAAAAAACGATTTGATATCTCGAGAGATTTTTAGATCGATGGATGTAGAAACAAAATGATAGGCTATAAAATACTTAAGGTATGTTTTTGAAAAAAATTTTTAATGAATGACTTTTATAGTTTCTATTATCTCAGTACGAGTGATGCAAAACATTTTTCAGGTATGGTTTTGATGTTAAGTAGTTATATTGATTTCATTTTGTCTGTTATTTTTATAATCACAGATGATTTATCAAATTTCATTTTTTCGAACAGCAAAAGATCAAGAAAAACAAAACATTTCATCTAAAGGTATTACTTTAACGCATTGTAAAGAAAGAATTTAATTGAGTTTTCAAAATTTTTTTAACTTTAATTAATTTCTAGAAAACTAATTTAGTAATTAACATTGCCTTAACTATTGAAATTTTCATATTTGAAGAATGATTATTCATCTTATAATTTAAATTGAGTTATGTCGAACATATTCGTTGATACTCTTGCATAGGCAAGTGTTCTGTTTCTTTATTATTATTATCGTGTTGTTGTTGTTGTTGTTTTGTTAAAGTGTGCGCACATGTAGTTTTTTTTCTCTTTTTCTTACATAAGAGTGGCTTGCTATTGGACAAGGTAGGGATGAAATATTTTAGTTTTACTGTTGAAAGGAGAACTCGAATATTTTTGTATTTTTCTTTCTTGTTATTAGAATCTACCTGTGGTTTTCTTTTTTCTTGTTCTTATTCTCTTCCTTGTAAATAGACAAATTTTCTAAGTAATTCTCCATATCATTTTTTTTGTGTAATTCTTAGATTTTAGACATTATAAAAAATAAAACACAAAATCAATGGATTCTTCATCACATACACAAATAGTTCTATCAAAAATAAATGAATTTCATAGATTAACAATGAATGATTCAGATATTAAGATTAAAAATGCAATTCTAGAAATTCTTCATTTATGGCCTGAAGTACTTGCTGCTATTGATCAAGCTACTGATGATGAATTATTTACTTTAAATATTAGTCGAGCTGTTTTAACTCAAGTATTTACAATTGTTTTATCGAAAGATTTTTTTAATAAAGATTATTTATTAGTACGTGAAATATTCTTTACTTGTTTTAATATACTTATTAATCATACATATATATTTACAATTACAAATTCAACATCTCAAACAACATTTATTGATTCTAATATACGTTTATTAATGAAAATATTAACAAGTATAACATCATTAGTCAAATTTCAATATGATGATTTTTCTAAAATTAATGATCAACAATTATTTATTGCTATGCGTAAACATATTGATCAAGATTCTAAACATGATAATTTAACTGATGGAATTATATCATTAATATGGAATTTAACTGATAGAACAATATTAGTACCATTATTTTTAAATACTGGTTATGCAAATAGTGTTATTGAATGGATAAAAAATCGTGAAATTAAATTTCGTGATGATAAATTAAATGCACCTATACATATTTTACATAATTTATCACGACATGATGATGGTATTAAAGAATTAAATATTTATAATGCACTTCAAATTATTAATAATATTAATATTGAACCAAATAAATATGATGATTCTGATGATATGACAATACATATAGCTATGATTCGTGCACTACTTACTGATATAAATCAAATTAAAATTGATTCAACATCATATTCAAATCAAATTCTTAATATGATTATACAATTATGTATAGATGCTGCTAAAAATGAACGATATCGTTATAATGGTTCTCATATATCTGAACCATTAACAGTACTTGTTAAATTATTTTATAATGATGAAATATTACATAATACTTTTTGTAATAATGAAACAAAATCATCATCATCATCATCAAATATTCAATCATTATTAGAACTTTTAGTATCATTACTTATTAAATTTTATCCAAAGATAAATTTTGATAATGACATATTAGAAAACTATACATGTGTTGTTATACTAAATCTATTTTGGCTTATTTCAAATCATGAACAATATCGTCAGATTATTCGAAATTTTGAACAATTGATGAGTATTATAAAAAGTGTTCTAAATGATGAAGAAATTTTTATAGATACATTTATGCCACGAACAATGAAAAGTATAAAACAATCAGCAAATGATATTCTAAAAAATCTTAATAGTTAAAATTTCATAAAAACAGAAATATATACATAAATATAAATATTTATTGTAAATCAAGTACTGTTCAGTAATAATTAACAGAATAATCATAATCTCTTAAATATTATTATTTTCATTAATTTATTTTGAAGTAAACGCATAGAAAGATTTTGTTAATCATAAAAAAACAATATCAATACTTTTTCAATGTATTATCAGACAAAGCAATCGACTTCTAATTTTTTGTTTTTATTGTGTTTATGTGATTAACTCATATTATATTTCTTGCTAATATGTTATCATAAATATTGTGACGAAATATCATAAGAATACGATTGAAAGTCTTCGTTCGACAGTAAATTTTCTTTTGTTTCTTGTATTCAATCGTATACCTTTCAACCAAGTTGTCGAAGAATTGCTACTACAAATCACACAATAGAGATCCAATACAATGTTCCCTGCCTCATAGAATACATTTTCAATCTTCATTCTTATTGTCATTTCCTACGATGCCAATTCCAGCTATCGAAACAGTTCATGAAATTATTATTTTGAAATACATTTTAACAACCCATGGATTTTTTTATGATCATCATGTAAGTATTTTACATACTTCCCTATCTAGGCTTTCGCAAATAGTTTTTGTCTTTCAAGCTGCCTTCTATGATAAACAATTGGAGACAATCACTATTGATCAAATAGGAAAGAGTTTCATTTTGAAGTATGTTTGTATACACGTTTGCTGTCTGTACGTTTTAATAAAAGAAAAAGCTTGTGTTTTACAATAAGAACATATTATTAAAAATCAATGAGCTCGTCTTATAAACCTCAATCATGTATATGGTTATCCCATTCAACTTTTCTCTCGAATTATAGTACATTCATTATTAATCACATATTAAAGGCGCAACTTCAATTCACTTTCGTAAAATGAAAAAATTGATATTTCAAGGTTTAGGTTTTTTCCCTTAAATTGACGAGCTCTCTGAATGCCTTGAACAAATACGGTTAGTTTATCAACTTGTTTCTTCGCTATTTCTCACTTATAAAGTTTTTGACAAAAATAAACTTTAATATGAACCAAATCATAATTATGAATAAAGCACATTGTACGAAGATTCGTAGTCCCATGAAAATATACGAAATTTCAAAAACTAATTTTTATACGAAACATTATCCATCCATCGTTGACAGTGAGTTAAGTAAATAAACAGGCAAATAATCAATTGTACTGATATGGATTTTTTTCTAGTTTTCTTAGATTCTATATTAGTCAAGAAAATATTGCACTTCTATCAGTTTGAAGTCATAATTTCCAGAGTAATAAATATGGTCATGGATAAAGTGACTGTAGAAAGGCACCGTCAGTGACGATCATTCATTTATTAACTAAGAATAAAAATTAGGTTCTTTTATTTACAATCAAGCATTTTATTAAACAAAGAGATTGTTCGTATACTACTATTTGAACAAATTTAAAATAGAGAATTTGGATTTTTTCTTTTTCTGATTGTCAGAAGCTGCAGTGATTACTGAACTATTCGAAGTTGTAGTTGGAACTGATGAAGCTGTTGATTGCGATGGTTTCACGACAAATGTTTGCCAGTAAGAATCTTCGAATGCAGCTTTGTCGAGCCAAACTGTCATTGTATCATCTTTCACATGGAACAAAAAATTAGTTTCTTGTCGTAGGTCATATTCCCATTTTTTTCTGTTATCATTAACAAAATGACCACGACGATTTATTGAAATATCGAAAGATAGACTGCGAAGATGTATGAAATACATTTTCAATAATCGAATACTATGTAAACTTGATGTATTGATTTTTAGATGTTCCAGATAAGGAAAGCACTTGACAATGATAATAATATCTTCTTCATTGAATGCATGTTCAGAAAGAGACATATCAAGATCTTTTACACAATTACTTTTTCCCATGAAAGCATCTATATTAGTGAGAAGTACATCGAAGCTTATATAAAGTAAACTCATATTTGTGAGACATGTGAGCAGTTCATCTAATGCGTCGTTGGTTTTGTGTGAACGTATGATAGCAAGTTGCGTAATTTGGAAGCAATTTACATGCATTTTCATCCATTTGAATACCGAACTATCCATATTATCCACTATAAGGCACTTTACATTGTTAAAGTAGTAAGAACATGATACAATACTATTTATGTCACCAACTCTCAAACTTATGTTTTCATTAATTATCATAAGTTCGTTATTACTAGTACGATTGGGTGCTATCCAACATTGAACAACAGGCCAATCAAATTCATATCGAGCATTGTACTTCATTTTGTCTATGCCGAAACCATTGAAATCTGAATGTTCATGTTTGGTTATTAATATATTGAAGTTCTTTTTCGCTAACCAATATGAATTTTGAAACGCAGCAAGTACATTTTGAAGTTCATCTTCTTCTACACGAAATGTAGTCGTTCGAAGAGTAAAATGAGTTAGTAATGGTAAGGATGTTTCCAATAACGTTTGCCATGCGTTTGCATCAAGAATTCCACTATATGCTTTAATTTCAAGACGTTTTAGAACAGGCATGCAATTAAA